TGCCCAGCCTTACCCGGCGTAATGCCCGGGCACTCCTGACGCATCTCAATGGTGGACAGCGGGTGTCCCCAGATGACGCAAGGGAAGCAAGTCGTGTCCGGGGAATACCTCTCCCTTGGCTGCACACATGTCCTATATAGACCTGACTTTGACACATCTGTAATACACACACATGCCATAGCTACACAGCTACACCTGAACTTCCCCCCCCCCTTGTCTAAACCCCCACATTGGTCCTCCCCCCGCTTGTCTAAACCCCACATTGGTCCTTCCCCCCCCCTTGTCTAAACCCCACATTGGTCCTCCCCCCATGTCTAAACCCCACATTGATCCTCTCCCCCTTGTCTAAACCCCACATTGGTCCTCCCCCCCCCTTGTCTAAACCCCACATTGGTCCTCCCCCCTTGTCTAAACCCCACATTGGTCCTCCCCCCTTGTCTAAACCCCACATTGGTCCTCCCCTCCTTGTCTAAACCCCACATTGGTCCTCCCCCCCCTTGTCTAAACCCCACATTGGTCCTCCCCCCCTTGTCTAAACCCCACATTGGTCCTCCCCCCCTTGTCTAAACCCCACATTGGTCCTCCCCCCCCCCCTTGTCTAAACCCCACATTGGTCCTCCCCCCCATGTCTAAACCCCACATTGATCCTCCCCCCTTGTCTAAACCCCACATTGGTCCTCCCCCCCCTTGTCTAAACCCCACATTGGTCCTCCCCCCCCTTGTCTAAACCCCACATTGGTCCTCCCCCCCTTGTCTAAACCCCACATTGGTCCTCCCCCCTTGTCTAAACCCCACATTGGTCCTCCCCCCCCCTTGTCTAAACCCCACATTGGTCCTCCCCCCCTTGTCTAAACCCCACATTGGTCTTCCCCCCCCATGTCTAAACCCCACATTGATCCTCCCCCCTTGTCTAAACCCCACATTGGTCTTCCCCCCCATGTCTAAACCCCACATTGATCCTCCCCCCCTTGTCTAAACCCCACATTGGTCCTCCCCCCCTTGTCTAAACCCCACATTGGTCCTCCCCCCACCTTGTCTAAACCCCACATTGGTCCTCCCCCCCTTGTCTAAACCCCACATTGGTCCTCCCCCCGCTTGTCTAAACCCCACATTGGTCCTCCCCCCCCTTGTCTAAACCCCACATTGGTCCTCCCCCCCCATGTCTAAACCCCACATTGATCCTCTCCCCCTTGTCTAAACCCCACATTGGTCCTCCCCCCCCCTTGTCTAAACCCCACATTGGTCCTCCCCCCCCTTGTCTAAACCCCACATTGGTCCTCCCCCCCTTGTCTAAACCCCACATTGGTCCTCCCCCTTGTCTAAACCCCACATTGGTCCTCCCCCCCCTTGTCTAAACCCCACATTGATCCTCCCCCCCCCTTGTCTAAACCCCACATTGGTCCTCCCCCCACCTTGTCTAAACCCCACATTGGTCCTCCCCCCCCCCTTGTCTAAACCCCACATTGGTCCTCCCCCTTGTCTAAACCCCACATTGGTCCCCCCCCCCCCTTGTCTAAACCCCACATTGGTCCTCCCCACCCTCCCTCGCCACCTCCGCCAGTATAAATGGCGCTGTCATCTGTGGGCGCGGGCGAGTGTCACTGGTTAATGAGGTGCTTAAGGCAGTTACAAGCGCTAATTGCCCTAATTGCTTATGGCTGCGGTGACTGTGTAAATAACAAACAAGGGGGGGCTCCCTATTGTGGGGGGGGGGTCCCTCGTTGGTAGTCTGGCCGCCTTGCTCTGTGGCAGTGCTTACCCCGGCCCCTGGGGTCACTGCTGCCAGCCTGGGGTCCTGGGGTCACTGTTGCCAGCCTGGGGTCCTGGGGTCACTGCTGCCAGCCTGGGGTCCTAGGGTCACTGCTGCCAGCCTGGGGTCCTGGGGTCACTGTTGCCAGCCTGGGGTCCTGGGGTCACTGCTGCCAGCCTGGGGTCCTAGGGTCACTGCTGCCAGCCTGGGGTCCTGGGGTCACTGCTGCCAGCCTGGGGTCCTGGGGTCCTAGGGTCACTGCTGCCAGCCAGGGGTCCTGGGGTCCTGTGGTCACTGCTGGGGTCCTGGGGTCACTGCTGCCAGCCTGGGGTCCTGGGGTCACTGCTGGCAGCCTGGGGTCCTGGGGTCACTGCTGGCAGCCTGGGGTCCTGGGGGTCACTGCTGCCAGCCTGGGGTCCTGGGGGGTCACTGCTGGCAGCCTGGGGTCCTGGGGTCACTGCTGGCAGCCTGGGGTCCTGGGGTCACTGCTGCCAGCCTGAGGTCCTGGGGTCACTGCTGCCAGCCTGAGGTCCTGGGGTCACTGATGCCAGCCTGGGGCCCTGGAGTCACTGCTGCCAGCCTGGGGCCCTGGAGTCACTGCTGCCAGCCTGGGGTCCTGGGGTCACTGCTGCCAGCCTGAGATCCTGGGGGTCACTGCTGCCAGCCTGGGGTCCTGGGGTCACTGCTGCCGCCCTGGGGTCCTGGGGTCACTGCTGCCGCCCTGGGGTCCTGGGGTCACTGATGCCAGCCTGGGGTCCTGGGGTCACTGATGCCAGCCAGGGGTCCTCGGGTCACTGCTGCCAGCCTGAGATCCTGGAGATCACTGCTGCCAGCCTGGGGTCCTGGGGTCACTGCTGCCGCCCTGGGGTCCTGGGGTCACTGCTGCCAGCCTGGGGTCCTGGGGTCACTGCTGCCAGCCTGGGGTCCTGGGGTCACTGATGCCAGCCTGGGGTCCTCGGGTCACTACTCTCAGCCTGGGGTCACTGCTGCCGCCCTGGGGTCCTTGGGGTCACTGCTGCCAGCCTGGGGTCCTGGGGTCACTGCTGTCAGCCTGGGGTCCTGGGGTCACTGCTGCCAGCCTGGGGTCACTGCTGCCAGCCTGGGGTCCTGGGGTCACTGATGCCAGCCAGGGGTCCTCGGATCACTACTGTCAGCCTGGGGTCACTGCTGCCGCCCTGGGGTCCTGGAGTCACTGCTGCCGCCCTGGGGTCCTGGGGTCACTGCAGCCAGCCTGGGGTCCTGGGGTCACTGCTGCCAGCCTGGGGTCCTGGGGTCACTGGTGCCAGCCTGGGGTCCTGGGGTCACTGCTGCCAGCCTGGGGTCCTGGGGTCACTGCTGCCAGCCTGGGGTCCTGGGGTCACTGCTGCCGCCCTGGGGTCCTGGGGTCACTGCTGCCAGCCTGGGGTCCTGGGGTCACTGATGCCAGCCAGGGGTCCTCGGATCACTACTGTCAGCCTGGGGTCACTGCTGCCGCCCTGGGGTCCTTTGGTCACTGCTGCCAGCCTGGGGTCCTGGGGTCACTACTGCCAGCCTGGGGTCACTGCTGCCAGCCTGGGGTCCTGGGGTCACTGCTGCCAGCCTGGGGTCCTAGGGGGTCACTGTTGTCAGCCTGGGGTCCTGGGGTCACTGCTGCCCTGGGTCCTGGGGTCACTGCTGCCGCCCTGGGGTCCTCGGGTCACTACTGCCAGCCTGGGGTCACTGCTGCCAGCCTGGGGTCACTACTGCCAGCCTGGGGTCACTACTGCCAGCCTGGGGTCCTGGGGTCACTACTGCCAGCCTGGGGTCACTGCTGCCAGCCTGGGGTCCTGGGGTCACTGCTGCCAGCCTGGGGTCCTAGGGGGTCACTGATGCCAGCCTGGGGTCACTGCTGCCAGCCTGGGGTCACTACTGCCAGCCTGGGGTCACTGCTGCCAGCCTGGGGTCCTGGGGTCACTACTGCCAGCCTGAGGTCACTGCTGCCAGCCTGGGGTCCTGGGGTCACTGCTGCCAGCCTGGGGTCCTAGGGGGTCACTGGTGCCAGCCTGGGGTCCTGGGGTCACTGTTGCCAGCCTGGGGTCCTCGGGTCACTACTGCCAGCCTGGGGTCACTGCTGCCAGCCTGGGGTCACTGCTGCCAGCCTGGGGTCACTGCTGCCAGCCTGGGGTCACTACTGCCAGCCTGGGGTCACTACTGCCAGCCTGGGGTCACTGCCAGCCTGGGATCACTACTGCCAGCCTGGGGTCACTACTGCCAGCCTGGGGTCACTACTGCCAGCCTGGGGTCACTACTGCCAGCCTGGGGTCACTACTGCCAGCCTGGGGTCACTGCCAGCCTGGGATCACTACTGCCAGCCTGGGGTCACTACTGCCAGCCTGGGGTCACTACTGCCAGCCTGGGGTCACTACTGCCAGCCTGGGGTCACTACTGCCAGCCTGGGGTCACTACTGCCAGCCTGGGGTCACTACTGCCAGCCTGGGGTCACTACTGCCAGCCTGGGGTCACTACTGCCAGCCTGGGGTCACTGCTGCCAGCCTGGGGTCCTGGGGTCACTGCTGCCAGCCTGGGGTCACTGCTGCCAGCCTGGGGTTCTGGGGTCACGAGGTCATTACTGCCTGCCTGGGGTCAGTAGTGCCGGCCTGGGGTCAGTACTGCCGGCCTGGGGTCAGTACTGCCGGTCTGGGGGTACTGCCGGCCTGGGGTCCTGGGGTCGTTACTGCCGGCCTCGGGTCCTGGGGTCAGTACTGCCGGCCTGGGGTCCTGGGGTCAGTACTGCCGGCCTGGGGTCATGGGGGTCAGTACTGCCGGCCTGGGGTCCTGAAAGAGGTGTTGCCATACTTGGGTTGCCAACCCTTGGCCGCCGACGGAAGTGTTGCCAGCGTGGGGTCCGGGTATTCATGAATATTCCTGTCCTCGGCTCCTGTGTTTTCCTGCTCATCTCGTCCCTATTGTCCCGGACCAGGCTTCATCATGTTCACTTACCTGTTCACTGACGAAACCTCTACATCTCTCCTCCATCGCCGAGTCTTACCTTCACATGTATTGAACAGTTCACAAGTTTCGAAACGCATCAGCGAGGCCGCTCTTGGGACGAGATATTTCTATAGACAATCTCTGTAAGCGCTTCGGAGCTCATAACGTCTATAAGAAATGTAAACTTAGCACCGTGATTGATGAAAGATGGACAGGTTTCGTCAGTGGATGTGCAAATGCTTGATAAATTCTGTTTTTTTTTTTATCTTGGTGTTAATTAAGGGTTTTTTGTTTCCTTCAGGTGAAGCACTTCGTGGAGGAGAACTTCCACAATCCAGGAGCTGAGTTCGTGGAATGGGTGCCGGACGACTGGACCGACAGGTGAGTACACACACACACACACGCCTCTTCCACTACTCCACAAGTGACAGGATGAACAACCCAGCGGGTTTTCTTCCTATTGGGGAGTGTTGCACATGCTGCTATGGCGGTGTGTCCACTCACAGGATGAGTGGCACTGCCCAATTATCTCGCCCCTCCAGGCAAAACTTAAAGAAAGACCTTCATACCTCCTCCACTGCGTACTCGGTGGAACCTACTTTTTAAATGAACAAATCCACAAGGCCCGTGACGAGGATTCGAACCTGCGTTCGGGAGCATCGCAGACGCTGCCTTAATCGACTGAGCTACGACATGGTTAAAAGAGTTGAAACTATGTCGTAGCTCAGTCGATTAAGGCAGCGTCTGGGATGCTCCCGAACGCAGGTTCGAATCCTCGTCACGGCCCTTGTGGATTTGTTCATTTGATGCATCACGTTATTGTGATTTGTGTGTGTAACCTGCTTTTTAGATTGGTTAATTATATGATCATTTCCAGGTGCATTAGTAAGTGATGTGAGGGGCATTTGACGTGATTATAATAAGTTATGTTATGCCCATAATAACATAATTGGTATAAGATTTGCGTCAATTTTAGGGGATTGGTATATTATTTGAGCACAATCTTGCCGATTTGTTAATTATATAATGAGCTTTTATACCAAGTTAGGCAAATCGTTTTCTTGCTCATTTACGTTACGTGGTTGATTTTTTATACTTGTGTTGCATTAGCATAATGCATCCTAGAGCGTCACTTTATCTACTCACTTATCTAATGCAATGCAAGCACCGTGTCAGCAAGGCGGACAGTCCGCCTGCTACCATAACATCGTGTCAGCAAGGCGGACAGTCCGCCTGCTACCATAGCATCGTGTCAGCAAGGCGGACAGTCCGCCTGCTACCATAGCATCGTGTCAGCAAGGCGGACAGCCCGCCTGCTACCATAGCATCGTGTCAGCAAGGCGGACAGCCCGCCTGCTACCATAGCATCGTGTCAGCAAGGCGGACAGCCCGCCTGCTACCATAGCATCGTGTCAGCAAGGCGGACAGTCCGCCTGCTACCATAGCATCGTGTCAGCAAGGCGGACAGTCCGCCTGCTACCATAGCACCGTGTCAGCAAGGCGGACAGCCCGCCTGCTACCATAGCATCGTGTCAGCAAGGCGGACAGTCCGCCTGCTACCATAGCATCGTGTCAGCAAGGCGGACAGCCCGCCTGCTACCATAGCATCGTGTCAGCAAGGCGGACAGTCCGCCTGCTACCATAGCATCGTGTCAGCAAGGCGGACAGTCCGCCTGCTACCATACCATCGTGTCAGCAAGGCGGACAGTCCGCCTGCTACCATAGCATCGTGTCAGCAAGGCGGACAGCCCGCCTGCTACCATAGCATCGTGTCAGCAAGGTGGACAGTCCGCCTGCTACCATAGCATCGTGTCAGCAAGGCGGACAGCCCGCCTACTACCATAGCACCGTGTCAGCAAGGCGGACAGCCCGCCTACTACCATAGCACCGTGTCAGCAAGGCGGACAGCCCGCTACCATAGCATCGTGTCAGCAAGGCGGACAGCCCGCCTGCTACCATAGCATCGTGTCAGCAAGGCGGACAGCCCGCCTGCTACCATAGCATCGTGTCAGCAAGGCGGACAGTCCGCCTGCTACCATAGCACCGTGTCAGCAAGGCGGACAGCCCGCCTGCTACCATAGCATCGTGTCAGCAAGGCGGACAGCCCGCCTGCTACCATAGCATCGTGTCAGCAAGGCGGACAGCCCGCCTGCTACCATAGCATCGTGTCAGCAAGGCGGACAGCCCGCCTACTACCATAGCACCGTGTCAGCAAGGCGGACAGTCCGCCTGCTACCATAGCATCGTGTCAGCAAGGCGGACAGCCCGCCTGCTACCATAGCATCGTGTCAGCAAGGCGGACAGCCCGCCTGCTACCATAGCATCGTGTCAGCAAGGCGGACAGTCCGCCTGCTACCATAGCACCGTGTCAGCAAGGCGGACAGCCCGCCTGCTATCATAGCATCGTGTCAGCAGGCGGACCCGCCTGCTACCATAGCATCAGCAAGGCGGATCCGCCTGTAGCATCATGTCAGCAAGGCGGACAGCCCGCTTGCTACCATAGCATCGTGTCAGCAAGGCGGACAGCCCGCCTGCTACCATAGCATCGTGTCAGCAAGGCGGACAGCCCGCCTGCTACCATAGCATCGTGTCAGCAAGGCGGACAGCCCGCCTGCTACCATAGCATCGTGTCAGCAAGGCGGACAGCCCGCCTGCTACCATAGCATCGTGTCAGCAAGGCGGACAGCCCGCCTGCTACCATAGCATCGTGTCAGCAAGGCGGTCAGCTCACCTACTACCAGAACTCGTCTTATATACCATATGTATGCAACGTTTTCTTCGTATATTTCATATTTTTACAACGGTATAGGATTTGTCATACTGGAATTGTTCCAGCGGCCGTACGTTGCCGAAACATGTTCAATACATGTAAACGTTTCGGGAGCATATTTGGACCTCCCCCTACCCCATAACCCCCCCTCCCTCACACCACCCCCCACTCACATCCCCCTCCTCTCCCCCCCCCCTCCCCCCCCCCCCCCCTTGTGTACCCCCACCCCCTTCACACCTCCTCCCCCCCTTCCCCCCACGTGTGTACCCCCGCCCCACCTTCACATCAACAAAGAATGCCTTACAGTCGTGAAGGTAAACTTCAAGTCAACATAATATGGGCGCGGGAAGGTGCGCCCGCTGAGCGGTATAACATTAACGAGGCTGCCACAGTGATGGTGCACAATGCTCTTGTTCCACACACCACATCACAATGTTAAATGCAACATTATAGAATTTTACGTCAGATATTGCAAACGCTTTAACAATAAGCATGTTTTGTATTCACCAAGTTGTGCTTACGGGGGATGAGCTCCGGCTCTTTCGGCCCGCCTCTCAACTGTCAATCAATCTACTACTTTTTTGTTCTTCACCCCCTCCCCCCCTGGAAGCAGTCCGTAGCAACTATCTAACTCCCAGGTACCTATTTACTGCTAGGTAACAGGGGCATCAGGGTGAAAGAAACTCTGCCTATTTGTTTCCGCCATCGCCGGGAATCGATCCTCGGTTCACAGGACTAACCGTATCCAGCATGCTCTCCACTCAGCCACCAGGCTTCAGGTGTGTATGTACTCACCTAGTTGTGCTTGCGGGGTTGAGCTCTGGCTCTTTGGTCCCGCCTCTCAGCTGTCTATCAAATGGTGTACAGATTCCTGAGCCTATTGGGCTCTATCATATTTGCATGTGAAACTGTGTATGGAGTCTATCTCCACCTGTGTCCCCTTCTTCGCGTACCACCCGTGTTAAACAGTTTATCCTTATCAACCCTCTCAAGTCCTCTGAGAATTTTGTACGTATTGATCATGTAAATATAAGTTACTCTTATATACCTTATCCTTCTGTCTTCCATTGTCGTGAGGTGCATCTCTCGCAGCCTTTCCTCGTAACTCATGCCTCTTAGTTCTGGGACTAGTCTAGTGGCATTCCTCTGAACTTTTTCCGACTTCGTCTTGTGCTTGACAAGGTACGGGCTCCATGCTGGGGCCGCATACTCCAGGATTGGTCTTACATATGTGGTGTACAAGGTTCTGTGTGATTCCTTACACAGGTTCCTGAAGGCAGTTCTGATGTTAGCCAGCCTCGCATACGCCGCAGATGTTATTCTTTTTATGTGTGCTTCAGGAGACAGGTTTGTTGAACTCCTAGATCTTTCTCTTTGTTTGTTTCATGAAGGACTTCATCTCCCATTTGGTATCTTGTGTCTGGCCTCCTGTTTCCACCGTCTAGTTTCATTACCTTACATTTACTCGGGTTGAACTTTATTAGCCATTTGTGGGACCATTCATTCAGTTTGTCTAGGTCATCTTGTAGCATCATACTATCTTCCTCTGTCTGTGCGTGCTTGCGTGCGTGCATGCGTGCCTGCGTGCGCGCGCCTCCTAGTTGTACTTGCACAACTTTGCCGGATTCGAGCTTCAGCTCCTGAGTCTGCGTCCTGATATTATAAGGATCGTGTGTGTACAATGGGCCAGGCTCGAGAAAGTCAAGCCTGGCCTCGGGCCGGGTTTAGGGAGTAGAAGAACTCCCAGAACCCCATCACGCAGGTATCAAGCAGATTCGCATACATTAGACATCATGTATGAATTGAGTCTGAGATACATATCTCCACCCAAGTGATTACTCTTGTTCACTGTCCTCACGTTGAACAAGCTCTCTATATTATCCTTTCCACTCACCTGTGTGTTTAGATCCCATCTACGTTCCTTAGTCATCATCCTTTCTATTTTAAATAGTTTGTCCACATTCACCTTATTTAATTTTGTGTATTTTTGGGATCGTAATCATGTCCTCTTGTGTTCAAACTTTTTTCTTAGTCGTGGGATATAATGCCTCGAGCCTTCCAGCACAACCCGTCGCTGAACTCTGGAATTAGTCTGGTGACCAACTTTTACATTTCCTCAGGACTCTTTATGTACTTGGTTAAGTAGGGGTTCCTGCTGGCGCAGCATAATTAAGTATTGGTCTTACATACGTGATGTATATCGTGTTTAAGTAAGGACTTCTTGATCTAGCTTAGTTCCTCAAGGCGGTCCTGATGTTTACTAACCTCGCTTGAGCTGCAGATGTTTATATCATTTGTACCAGATTCTGGGAGAGAGATCTGTCCCCCTGTCTTGTGCCAGCTCCTTGTCTGTGTTGGATACTTATAGTGGCCCCTGAGGAACGTCGTCCCGGGTCTCCTTCCTCAGCCCCGAGTCTCCTTTCTCAGTTCTGGGTCTCCTTCCTCAGTCCCGGGTCTCCTTCCTCAGCCCCGGGTCGCCTTCCTCAGCCCCGGGTCTCCTTCCTCAGCCGCGGGTCTCCTTCCTCAGCCGCGGGTCTCCTTCCTCAGCCCCGGGTCTCCTTCCTCAGCCCCGGGTCTCCTTCCTCAGCCCCGGGTCTCCTTCCTCAGCCCCGGGTCTCCTTCCTCAGCCCCGGGTCTCCTTCCTCAGCCCCGGTCTCCTTCCTCAGCCCCGGGTCGCCTTCCTCAGCCCCGGGTCTCCTTCCTCAGCCCCGGGTCTCCTTCCTCAGCCCCGGGTCGCCTTTCTCAGCCCCGGGTCTCCTTCCTCAGCCGCGGGTCTCATCAATGACATGCTGGTGAGGTCCAGTATGTATTCACTGGACCACCCCCTAGAGAGCCTCACCAGGACTTCGTAAGATTTGCAGACGTCTTCACTCCTTACTTCTTGTAATTTCAGGATCATACGTAAATCATGGCACGTAAGACTGCGTCCCTCCTGGCAGGTCCTTAAAGTGTGTGCTAGGAACATGATGGGGGGGGGGGAGTCCTGGGACCGACTCCTGCGGGACCACACTTGTTACTGTTGCCTCAGCTCGTGTGCTCCGTTCCTTAGAGTGATTTGCTGCATTCAGGCGCACTGTAGCTGTCTTCACCGTCACTTGGAAGACGGTGAAGATCGTCTAAAAATTCCTGTTCCTCATGGTATATGCCTCGGCTCATTACGGAGCTCTCTGTGTGTGGGAAGGTTCCAGCACAGGGCTCCAGGCGTAATACCTTGCCCAACCCCCCTTCCCGTCGCCCCGTCCCGCGGTGGGATGGAGCGGGATGCTTCCTCTCCCATAAAATCTAAAATGCTGTCCGGTCCATCCTTCTCTTTCCTGTCTGATATTTGTGAGCGCGGGTTTTTGTAAGTCTCTGGCAGCTTAGTGGGGGCGCCGCCAGTCTTGTTCTGTGGTACTTGTTCTGCGGTACTTGTTCTGCGGTACTTGTTCTGTGGTACTTGTTCTGTGGTACTTGTTCTGTGGTACTTGTTCTGCGGTACTTGTTCTGTGGTACTTGTTCTGCGGTACTTGTTCTGCGGTACTTGTTCTGCGGTACTTGTTCTGTGGTACTTGTTCTGCGGTACTTGTTCTGTGGTACTTGTTCTGTGGTACTTGTTCTGTGGTACTTGTTCTGTGGTACTTGTTCTGTGGTACTTGTTCTGTGGTACTTGTGGTACTTGTTCTGTGGTACTTGTTCTGTGGTACTTGTTCTGTGGTACTTGTTCTGCAGTACTTGTTCTGTGGTACTTGTTCTGTGGTACTTGTTCTGTGGTACTTGTTCTGTGGTACTTGTTCTGCGGTACTTGTTCTGTGGTACTTGTTCTGTGGTACTTGTTCTGTGGTACTTGTTCTGTGGTACTTGTTCTGTGGTACTTGTTCTGTGGTACTTGTTCTGCGGTACTTGTTCTGTGGTACTTGTTCTGTGGTACTTGTTCTGCGGTACTTGTTCTGTGGTACTTGTTCTGTGGTACTTGTTCTGCGGTACTTGTTCTGTGGTACTTGTTCTGCGGTACTTGTTCTGTGGTACTTGTTCTGCGGTACTTGTTCTGCGGTACTTGTTCTGTTACTGTTCTGCGGTACTTGTTCTGTTCTGTGGTACTTGTTCTGTGGTACTTGTTCTGTTCTGCGGTACTTGTTCTGTGGTACTTGTTCTGTGGTACTTGTTCTGTGGTCTGTTCTGTGGTACTTGTTCTGTTCTGGTACTTGTTCTGTGGTACTTGTTCTGTTCTGTGGTACTTGTTCTGTGGTACTTGTTCTGTGGTACTTGTTCTGTGGTACTTGTTCTGTGGTACTTGTTCTGTGGTACTTGTTCTGTGGTACTTGTTCTGCGGTACTTGTTCTGTGGTACTTGTTCTGTGGTACTTGTTCTGTGGTACTTGTTCTGTGGTACTTGTTCTGTGGTACTTGTTCTGTGGTACTTGTTTGTTCTGTTCTGTGGTACTTGTTCTGTGGTACTTGTTCTGTGGTACTTGTTCTGTGGTACTTGTTCTGCGGTACTTGTTCTGTGGTACTTGTTCTGTGGTACTTGTTCTGCGGTACTTGTTCTGTGGTAATGCTGGTCTGCTGGGTACGGCTGCGTGTGCGTACGGCTGTGTGTACTCACCTAATTGTACTCACCTAATTGTGCTTGCGGGGGTTGAGCTTTGGCTCTTTGGTCCCGCCTCTCAACTGTCAATCAACTGGTGTACAGATTCCTGAGCCTATACTGGGCTCTATCATATCTACATTTGAAACTGTGTATGGAGTCAGCCTCCACCACATCACTTCCTAGTGCATTCCATTTATTAACTACTCTGACACTGAAAAAATTCTTTCTAACGTCTCTGTGGCTCATCTGGGTACTAAGTTTCCACCTGTGTCCCCTTGTTCGTGTCCCACCCGTGCTGAAGAGTTTGTCTTTGTCCACCCTGTCAATTCCCCTGAGAATTTTGTAGGTGGTTATCATGTCTCCCCTTACTCTTCTGTTTTCCAGGGATGTGAGGTTCAGCTCCTTTAGCCTTTCCTCGTAGCTCAATCCTCTCAGTTCCGGGACGAGCCTGGTGGCATACCGCTGAATCTTCTCTAACTTTGTCTTGTGTTTAACTAGGTATGGACTCCAGGCTGGAGCTGCATACTCCAGGATTGGTCTTACATAAGTGGTATACAGGGTTCTGAAAGATTCCTTACACAAGTTTCTGAAGGCAGTTCTTATGTTGGCCAGTCTAGCATATGCCGCTGATGATATTCTTTTGATGTGGGCCTCTGGAGACAGGTTCGGTGTGATATCAACCCCCAGATCCTTCTCTCTATTTGATTCTTGCAGGATTTCCCCTCCCAGATGATACCTTGTGTTCAGCCTCCTGCTCCCTTCGCCTAATTTCATCACCTTACACTTTCCAGAGTTGAACTTCAGCAGCCATTTTCTAGACCATTCCTCCAGTTTATCCAGGTCATCCTGTAGTCTCTGTCTATCTTCATCCGTCTTGATTCTTCTCATAATTTTTGCATCATCAGCAAACATCGAGAGGAATGAGTCTATACCCTCTGGAAGATCGTTCACATATATTAGAAACAGGATGGGTCCAAGTACTGAGCCCTGTGGGACTCCGCTGGTGACATCTCGCCACTCTGATGTCTTCCCCCTCACCGTTACTCGCTGTTTCCTGTTGCTTAAGTACTCCCTTATCCACTGGAGCACCTTCCCTTTTACTCCTGCCTGTTGCTCCAACTTTTTTAACAGCCTTTTATGGGGTACTGTGTCAAAGGCTTTTTGGCAATCCAGGAAAATGCAGTCGGCCCACCCTTCTCTTTCCTGCCTAATTTTCGTTGCCTGGTCATAAAATTCTATTAAACCTGTGAGGCACGATTTACCATCTCTGAACCCATGTTGGTGGTGCGTTACAAAGTTATTTCCCTCCAGATGCTCTACGAGCCTTTTCCTCACGATCTTCTCCAGCACCTTGCATGGTATACAAGTTAAGGAAACTGGCCTGTAATTCAGTGCCTCTTGCCTGTCACCTTTTTGTATATTGGGACCACGTTAGCTGTCTTCCAACTTTCTGGTAAGTCTCCTGTTTCCAGTGACCTGTTATACACCATAGAGAGTGGCACACTTAGTGCTTCTGCACCTTCCTTTAGTATCCATGGTGAGATTCTATCAGGCCCAACAGCCTTTGTCACATCTAGCTCCAGCAGACACCTTTTGACCTCATCGCTGGTGAGGTCAAATTCCTCCAAGGTTGCTTGGTTTGCCGCCTCCTCATTTAGTGCAGGGGCTTCTCCTTATTCTATTGTGAAGACCTCCTGGAATCTCTTGTTGAGTTCTTCACACACCTCCTTATCATTCTCTGTGTATCTGTTCTCCCCTTTCCGCAGCTTCATCACTTGTTCCTTCACGTGTGCGTACGGCTGCGTGTGCGTGTGTGCGTACGGCTGCGTGTGCGTGTGTGCGTACGGCTGCGTGTGCGTACGGCTGCGTGTGCGTACGGCTGCGTGTGCGTACGGCTGCGTGTGCGTACGGCTGCGTGTGCGTACGGCTGCGTGTGCGTTCGGCTGCGTGTGCGTACGGCTGCGTGTGCGTACGGCTGTGTGTGCGTACGGCTGTGTGAGTATACGGCTGTGTGCGTACGGCTGTGTGTGCGTACGGCTGCGTGTGCGTACGGCTGCGTGTGCGTACGGCTGCGTGTGCGTACGGCTGCGTGTGCGTACGGCTGTGTGAGTATACGGCTGTGTGCGTACGGCTGTGTGTGCGTACGGCTGCGTGTGCGTACGGCTGCGTGTGCGTACGGCTGCGTGTGCGTACGGCTGTGTGTGCGTACGGCTGCGTGTGCGTACGGCTGCGTGTGCGTACGGCTGCATGTGCGTACGGCTGCGTGTGCGTACGGCTGCGTGTGCGTACGGCTGCGTGTGCGTACGGCTGTGTGTGCGTACGGCTGTGTGTGCGTACGGCTGCGTGTGCGTACGGCTGCGTGTGCGTACGGCTGCGTGTGCGTACGGCTGCGTGTGCGTACGGCTGCGTGTGCGTACGGCTGCGTGTGCGTACGGCTGCGTGTGCGTACGGCTGCGTGTGCGTACGGCTGTGTGTGCGTACGGCTGCGTGTGCGTACGGCTGCGTGTGCGTACGGCTGCGTGTGCGTACGGCTGCGTGTGCGTACGGCTGCGTGTGCGTACGGCTGCGTGTGCGTACGGCTGCGTGTGCGTACGGCTGCGTGTGCGTACGGCTGCGTGTGCGTACGGCTGCGTGTGCGTACGGCTGCGTGAGCGTACGGCTGCGTGTACGGCTGCGTGTGCGTACGGCTGCGTGTGCGTACGGCTGCGTGTGCGTACGGCTGCATGAGCGTATACGGCTGCGTGTGCGTACGGCTGCGTGTGCGTACGGCTGCGTGTGCGTATGGCTGCGTGTGCGTACGGCTGTGTGAGCGTACGGCTGCGTGTGCGTACGGCTGCGTGTGCGTACGGCTGCATGAGCGTACGGCTGCGTGAGCGTACGGCTGCGTGAGCGTACGGCTGCGTGAGCGTACGGCTGCGTGAGCGTACGGCTGCGTGTGCGTACGGCTGCGTGAGCGTACGGCTGCGTGAGCGTACGGCTGCGTGAGCGTACGGCTGCGTGAGCGTACGGCTGCGTGAGCGTACGGCTGCGTGAGCGTACGGCTGCGTGAGCGTACGGCTGCGTGAGCGTACGGCTGTATGAACGTGCGTCTGTCAGCAAACACACGCATAACTCTCAACAACAAAAAACAAAAGAACACCGAAAATACATTCTCGACACAGGATGGACCCCGGCAAGAATCAAAGACTGACTAGGGGAAGAGAGAGAGAAAAACAAAGACTCTACAAAGCCAATTAGAACCCATTGGCTTCCCGCATCCCTGCTTGCCTAAGTGGGACCAGGGGCGACAACCCCTCCCCTAAACACCCCCTTAAACTCCCCCCCCCCCCCACCTTCCAGCGCTGTGGGGAGAGGAGGAGACCAGGAGACACATTCCAGGAGGACTGGAAGGCTTCGTTGTCAGTGTGGCGGAACTGGCTGCAGTTATGATGATCGGCTTCATTAAGATTTCTGTATTGTCGACTGGAATGCCTTGTCGTGATGGCCAGGTGATGACTGGGGTTATGGCAGATATCGGGAGAGGGAGAGGGAGAGAGAGCGGGAGGAAGAGTGAGAGATGAGAGCGCGTGGGAAAGGGAGAGAAGAAAGGGAGGGAAGACACAGAGAGGCAGAGAGGGAGGGGGTAAACAGACAGACAGATAGAGTGAGGGGGAAAAGACAGATAGAGACAAGGAGAGGGGGGGGAGGGAGGGGGAATGAAAAATAACGCAGTAAACACTAACGCACACACGCCACCTAGCACACTCAACACACTCAACTACACACACACACACACACACACACACACACACACACACACACACACACACACACACACACACACACACACACACACACACGCACACTCACCAAGGAGGTGATTTGAGAAGGGACAGAAGAAAGTGAGCCTCAAAGCGATGTACACTAACATAGATGGAATTACAAATAAAGCAAATGAGCTTGGAGAACTGGTACTAGAGGAAAACCCAGACATAATAGCCCTCACAGAAACAAAGATCACGAAAACGACAACAAATGCAGTGTTCCCACAGGACTATTATGTTATGAGGAAAGAGAGGGAAGGAAGAGGTGGGGGTGGTGTAGCTCTGCTGGTAAGAAAAGGCTGGGATTTTGAGGAGATGGATATTCAGGGCTGTGAAGGTTTCAGTGACTACATAGCAGGTACTGTAACAAATGGAGGGAAAAAAATTATAGTCGCAGTCATATATAATCCACCACCAAATGACAGAAGACCTAGACAGGAATATGATAGAAACAACATGGCCACCATTAACATAATAGAAAGAGCAGCTTCTGTTGCTAGCAGGAATGGATCTGGACTACTAATTATGGGAGACTTCAACCATGGGAAGATAGATTGGAAGAACAGAGACCCGCATGGAGGACCAGAAACATGGAGAGCTAAGCTGCTGGACGTGGCAACAAGAAACTTTCTAAGCCAGCACACCAAAGAACCAACAAGAATGAGAGGAGAAGATGAACCAGCAATGCTTGATTTGATATTTACCCTAAATGAATGGGATATAAGGGAAGTTAAGATGGAAGCGCCCTTGGGAATGAGTGACCACAGTGTATTGAACTTTGAGTACCTGGTAGAGCTAGGACTTATCTCCCCCCAAAAAGAACTAGGAACCAAAAGGCTGGCATACCGAAAGGGGAATTATGAACAGATGAGAAGTTTCCTGAGTGAAATACCTTGGGATACAGACCTCAGAGATAAGTCTGTACAGGGTATGATGGACTATGATACCCAAAAGTGTCAGAAGGCAGTAAACAGGATCATCCCGGCCCAAAGGGAAAAATCCGAGAAGCAACAGAAGAATCCATGGTATAATAGGGCATATATGGAAGCGAAGAAACTGAACAAAAAGGCGTGGAGGAACTTCCGGAATAACAGAACACCAGAAAGCAGAGAGAGATACCAGAGAACCAGGAATGAGTACGTCAGGGTGAGAAGAGAAGCAGAGAAAAATTTTGAAAATGATATAGCAAACAAAGCCAAGACTGAACCAAAGCTACTCCACAGTCACATCAGAAGGAAAACAACAGTGAAAGAACAGGTATTGAAACTTAGAACAGGCGAGGACAGGTATACAGAGAATGACAGAGAGGTGTGTGAGGAACTCAACAAGAGGTTTTAGGAGGTCTTCACAATAGAACAGGGTGAGGTCACTGTGCTAGGAGAAAGGGAGGTAAACTAGGCGGCCTTGGAGGAGTTCGAAATTACGAGAGAGGAGGTCAAGAGACACCTGCTGGATCTGGATGTTAGAAAGGCTGTTGGTCCAGATGGGATCTCACCATGGGTACTGAAAGAGTGTGCAGAGGCACTTTGCTTGCCACTCTCCATAGTGTATAGTAAGTCACTAGAGACGGGAGACCTACCAGAAATATGGAAGACGGCGAATGTGGTCCTAATATACAAAAAGGGCGACAGACAAGAGGCACTGAACTACAGGCCAGTGTCCTTGACTTGTATACCATGCAAGGTGATGGAGAAGATCGGGAGAAAAAACCTGGTAACACATCTGGAGAGAAGGGACTTCGTGACAAATCACCAACATGGATTCAGGGAGGGTAAATCTTGCCTTACAGGCTTGATAGAATTCTACGATCAGGTGACACAGATTAAGCAAGAAAGAGAGGGCTGGGCGGACTGCATTTTCTTGGATTGTCGGAAAGCCTTTGACACAGTACCGCATAAGAGGCTGGTACATAAGCTGGAGAGACAGGCAGGTGTAGCTGGTAAGGTGCTCCAGTGGATAAGGGAGTATCTAAGCAATAGGAAGCAGAGAGTTACGGTGAGGGGTGAGACCTCCGATTGGCGTGAAGTCACCAGTGGAGTCCCACAGGGCTCTGTACTCGGTCCTATCTTGTTTCTGATATATGTAAATGATCTCCCGGAGGGTATCGATTCATTTCTCTCAATGTTTGCGGACGATGCTAAACTTATGAGAAGGATTAAAACAGAAGAGGACTGTTTGAGGCTTCAAGAAGACCTAGACAAGCTGAAGGAATGGTCGAACAAATGGTTGTTAGAGTTTAACCCAACCAAATGTAATGTAATGAAGATAGGTGTAGGGAGCAGGAGGCCAGATACAAGGTATCATCTGGGAGAGGAAATTCTTCAGGAGTCAGAGAAGGAAAAAGACTTGGGGGTTGATATCACGCCAGACCTGTGTCCTGCAGCACATATCAAGCGGATAACATCAGCGGCATATGCCAGGCTGGCCAACATACGAACGGCATTCAGAAACTTGTGTAAAGAATCGTTCAGAACTTTGTATACCACATATGTCAGGCCAATCCTGGAGTATGCAGCCCCAGCATGGAGTCCATATCTAGTCAAGGATAAGACTAAACTGGAAAAGATTCAAAGGTTTGCCACCAGACTAGTACCCGAGCTGAGAGGTATGAGCTACGAGGAAAGACTACGGGAATTAAACCTCACTTCGCTGGAAGACAGAAGAGTTAGGGGGGACATGATCACCACATTCAAGATTCTGAAGGGGATTGATAGGGTAGATAAAGACAGTCTATTTAACACAAGGGGAACACGCACAAGGGGACACAGGTGGAAACTGAGTGCCCAAATGAGCCACAGAGATATTAGAAAGAACTTTTTTAGTGTCAGAGTGGTTGACAAATGGAATGCATTAGGGGGTGATGTGGTGGAGGCTGACTCCATACACAGTTTCAAGTGTAGATATGACAGAGCCCGATAGGCTCAGGAATCTGTACACCTGTTGATTGACGGTTGAGAGGCGGGACCAAAGAGCCAGAGCTCAACCCCCGCAAACACAACTAGGTGAGTACAACTAGGTGAGTACACACACACACGCACACATACATACATTCATACACATACATACATACACACATACATGCAATTGAATGAGTTACGTCTCCCCTAACCAAAAGAGAGGAATATCAGCGAGTCCGCACATTGACGCGAGGAACAAAACCGTTCGCGAGCAGCTAGATCAGACTGCAGATAGATCGCTAGATTTGTCGCAAGATCGGGCGCAAGATCGGGCGCAAGACGGGTTGGGAGCCGCGAGACCGCGGACAGTCAACCCAAGAGCCTCAAAATAAATAACGTTACAGAGAGCAACACACCGCTCTTGAGAGCACACTCCATCATATTGTTCCAAGAGTTCCTGCTTCATCTCCCGTAAATGATGACAATCTTTAATATGTAATTATCTGAAAATCAAAACATTATAACTAACAAAAAATAAAATTTCGCATTTGGTATGAAAGACAAGATGTGTCGCTGTTAACAAAAGTTTGTATAATAATTATTCATCTGGTATTTTCTCGGTAAATGTATGATTTTAAATACCAAAAAAAATATTTGAAAGCAAAACAGAGTTTTGTTGAATTAATGGAAGAAAAATTGGCTACCGAAATTTGAAATGTTTCTATTAACAAAAATACGTGGCAAGTACTTGTGTATGGACGAGAGGTAAATATATATTTTATGTATTAAATAAGAATACCTGTGTCTTTTCGTGGTTGGAAGCCAGATGCTTGCGGCTAGTCTTGCTAAATTTTTTACAGTTATTGGCGTTAGGTACGTACCCAACATGTCCGGGATGGTGGTGCTCACGCATTACATATTGTTTTGCACTAATATTGCATTTCCTATAACAAACAAATAGTCTCCACGCTTAAAAATCGACTCCCATATGCATTATCAGGTGGGAATCACTTTGGTTGATGCTCATTTCTGCTGGCGATAGATGGCAGCACATGCCAGGATCTAGATGCCTTTTGTCTGAAGACCTGAAGACCTGCTCCATCACTTCGGAAAGTCGAATACCGCATCGTAAGGTAAAGAGGAATGTATAACACAGAAGAAGAAGGGAAGGAAGATAGGGTAACCTTCCTGGAACCTGCAAACGGAGGATGCGAACTATCTCTTGTCTTTTACTCCACTGATCATCACAGTAACAACGCCCACACGTGAGAATTGGAACAAGTCCGAAAAGCTTTGCGTAATAGTGGCTTTAGGCATTGTATGTACTAGCTCTATCTATGAATCCATGAACTTCTGTATTTTACCTTGTATGTATGAACAAATGGGCAAAGTTTCTTTCACCCTGAATG